GCCTGCTTCTCCCTCTCCCACTCCCCCTGCTTGTGTTCCCTCTCTCTCTGTCTCTCTGTCAAATAAATAAATAAAATCTTTAAAGAAAAAATAAATAAATCAAAGACCTAAATTTAAGAGCTAAACTTTTAGAAAAAAAAAAAAACATATAGAAAATCTTCATAACCTTAGATTTGGCAGTAATTTCCTAAAAAGGACACCAAAACCACAGGTAATTTAAAAAAATAGGTAAATTGAGCTCCATAGATATTTTAGAACTTTTGTGCCTCAAAAGACATTATCAAGAGAGTGAAAAGACAACGAACAAAATGGGAGAAAATACTTGCAAATCACCTATCTGATAGGGTTTAATAACCAGAATATATCAACAACTCCTACAACTCAACAACAAAAAAACAAGCAACCCAAATTAAAAACAGGCAAAGGACTTGAACAGACATTTCTCTAAAGAAGATAAACAAATGCCAATAGGAACATGAAAATATTCTCAACATCATTAATCATTAAGGAAATGCAAATCAAAGCCACATTGATTTACTACTTCACATCCACTATGATGGCTGTAATTTTTTTAAAAAAGGAAAATAACCTATATTAACAAGGATGCAGACAAAATGGAACCCTTATACATTGCTGGTGGGAATGTAAAACACTGTGGGACAAAGTTTATCAGTCCCTCAAAAAGCAAAACACAGAATTACCTTATGATCCAGTAATTCCACCCCTAGGTATTTATTCCACACAACAGATCTGAAAACAGTGACTCAAACAGATAGTTCCATATGAATGTTCATAGCAGCATTATTCACAATAGCCAAAAGGTGGGAACAACCCCAATATCCATCAACAAATGGAGTTTTTTAAATGTTGTATATACATACAATGGAATATTATTTAGTCATAAAAAGAATGAAATTCTAATACATGCTTCAACATGAATCAACCTTGAAAACGTTATATGCCAAGTGAAATAAGCTAGACACAAAAGAAAAGATATTGCTATGAATCTACTTAAATGAATTCTCTTCAGCAGGCAAATTCAGAGAGACAGAAAGTAGATTACAGGTTACCAGGGGAGTTACTGCTTAATGGGTTTCTTAGTGAAACAATTTTGGTCAGTACACTAGAGTGGCAGTCAAGAGAACTTAATCCAAATTGCTGAATCACTATATATACTATATACCTGAAACTAATATTACACTCTATGTTCACTAACTGGAATTTAAATAAAAACGTTAAAAAAAAGAGAGCGAGAAACACGTGTACTTTAAAAAAAATTGGCAAATGATCTAGAAAGAAGGGCAAAAATAAAAACAAAATGAAACAAGCTAAACATTTTTAAGAAGCCTTAGGAAAAGTCAGGACATGTCAGCATTAGTCCAGACCCTTATAAAAGGCTTGTGTGTTGGTCACTTGGCCCTATTATACCCTACTAGGCAGTTTACTCAATAGAGGCTTAACTATGTTCGTTATAGGGGAACATCTCTGAAGAGTATGGTATTTACCTTTTCTCTTTGCTCTTCCTGTCATACTCCGCATTCCACCACAGGAAATTGGTCCTGTAACAGGACTGCAGTGGACCTAAAGCCCTGTCTGAACCCATTCTCAGAAGTTATTACCCCCTTGCCCAGCCCACACCTTCTCAGAGGCAGACGGAAACTTTCCCTAAGGACATCTGGAGCCATAAAGGAAAACAGCCCTGCTGGACCGGCACTGTGCTAAAAAAGCATAGCCAAATGGAAAAGCAAAGGCTTTGACACTAAAAATAGCTGCTACACTCACCCAGAAGCAAAAGCCTTTGCTTTCTGCCAGCTTCTCCTCTCTTTTTTCGTCGACAAAATGGAACGGCTGAGTGCCACATGAGCTTTCCCCAGCAGCCTGGCTCCCTGGGGCACCAACACACTGAAAGGCAGGGAGTGAGTTCACCACACAGCATTAGTTCTAGACAGGTGCCTGACCGTGCCTGGCTGTGTTGAGGGTGGCTGGGTGAGGATGAACAAGGAGCAGAAGCTTCCACATCAGGAGTGAACAGGTTGGGGCGCCTGGGTGGCTCAGTCGTTAAGCATCTGCCTTCGGCTCAGGTCATGATCCCAGGGTCCTGGGATTGAGCCCCACATCGGGCTCCCTGCTCAGCAGGGAGCCTGCTTCTCCCTCTCCCTCTGTCTACCACTCTGCCTACTTGTGCTCTCTATCAAATAAATAAATAAAATATTTAAAAAAAAAAAGAGTGAACAGGTTGGAAAGGCCCGGGGAGATGGGTCCCAAGAACATACAATGTTCCCTGGAGATTCCTATAATTCCCCATACCTTTCTTAATCCGCAGCCTTGCCTGTGGGAAAAAGGAGAGTCAAAAATGGGAGTGGAGTGCATTATTGGGAAACATACCGTAAGAGAAAACAAAGCCTATCCCCAAAGCAACAGGTTTCCCTTCCCTGCATGAAGAGTGTTCATGTCTACACGGATGGACACACACACACACACACACACACACACACACACACACACACACAGTTAAACACTCCCTTCTCACAGCCAGGGAAAAGCACTGGAATTGATGCTGGGGAAAAAGATGAGGAGGAAGAGATAAATGAGAATGAATTAGTCAAGGGCAAAGAAGACAAATGAGCAGGAGGAGGAAATACAGAAGAGACTGAGGCAAAAGAGGTTGGGAGCAGCTGATCCACACACAGCAGCTTCCCCACCTCCCGGAGTGGGAAGCGGAGTGGGGGGCGCGAGAGAAATGGCAGCTCCCACAGGGATCCCAGCCGCCTCCGTCTCCCGCACACACACTCACGCCCTCAGAAGCATTTTATGCCAATACTAAGGATGAGTGATCGATTCGTAAATAGATCCTTCATCTCCCCCCAATAGTTCCACATGGACTGCACACCTGACCTATTTATTGCCTCCATATATTTCCCCATGAAACACAAAGAGAGAGAACATGTTGCGGGGAGGAGGTGCCAGGGGACAGAGCTAGGAGAAGTGAGGCTGGGAGAAAGGAATGAGACAGTTTCCCAAGCTTTGCAGGGGTACCCTAACAGCATGGGGAATGGTGTCCTGCGTCCTGCTAAGGCCTGGCCTGCAGCCATGTCAACCTGGGCTTGGGCCTTATTCAAGTAGCAGCAGGTGGAGAACATGCAGGCACAATTTTCTCTGGGCTTTATGCTCAAAGTGAGGTGAGCAGGGTCAGGGTAGGAAGAGGGGAAGGGGAAGTGGCACACAGCTATGTTTTACCAGGACGGCTCACAACACAACCAGGGACTTGGGCAGCTCCAGCAGCAGCAAGAGAAAACCTTGTTACACTGACGTAAGTAAAGCCAAAGTCATGGCATCCCTTTGAGGCACAGTTGGCACACTCGGCCTGAGGTCAGTGCCCTTCCCAAACCTTCCCAAACCCTACTTGCCACCCACTAACCCTGGATTTGCTTCATCCCCTGCCCCTACACACACTATAGAACAAATCTTCCCTTCATCCTTGGCTCTCACTGGAGCACAGAGCAACATCTTTACATTCACAGTCTTCTGACTTAAACCACCACCACTCGGTCTGGGAAAGGAAATATATTTCAATGTTCTACCAGTAACTCTTTCCTTAGGTATCCTTGGGCTTTGGGACAAAAAGATAATTAGGACTTGAAATGCCCATTTTTTTCTCCTATCAAAACTGGCCATCAGTAGGCTGCACCTCTACTTAAATGGAGGTTGGATGCTCTCAGCAATCTGTATTTTCAGCTTACTGTATTGTACAGCTTACAGGAGTAGATGCTTCGGGCATGGGTGGGACGAGGCCTTTGGACTCACCAGCCCTTGCCTTTCTTGATGCCTCATGTCCTCTATTCCATTCAGACAGAACTGGGGTAAAGGACTAGGCCCTGGATAAAAAAATAAATAAAAATTTAAAAAAACCATCATCCCATAACTTTTATCTTCTCTAAAGACAGGAAAACAAAAGAATGTGATGAGGATGGCAAAGAGCCAACAGAGGAAGGCGAAGTGGGACTGCTGGATCTCTGAAAGCTTCTTACATGGCTGGCTGGCCCCATGGACAATGGTTGCTCTCATCTCAGGGCCAGAGCACAAGGAGAACAGGAAAAGGTCACAAGTGTCCTGGGCAGACAGGAGCACCTCAGCAAGCTACCTGGGAGCACTCTGAACTCCATCTCAGAAAATGCTCACATTCATAACCTACAGTGTATGTCCATGTATTTGTTTCCCCAAATCTAGAAGTGAAGGACAAGAATTCCCACTTCCATCTTAAAAGAAGGGAACTTGAGCAAAGAGATAAAAACACTGGATAGAAAGTACAGTATATGAATTTAGCGTCAGAATGACCTAAGGCCAGTTCTTAGCTCTGTCAATTCCTAGCTATGTGATCTTGAACACAACTGTACTAGGCCTCAGTTTCTCCATCTGTAAAATGGGCATAATAAGAGCTCCCACTTCAAAGAGTGTTAGGGAGGATTAAATAAATATACGGAAAGTGCTTAATAAAGCATCTGGCACCTACTTATCATTAGAGTAGGGATGATGACTAGCTCTTGGACCCACAGGCCATCAGGGCCAGGCCAGGCACCCTGGAACCACTCTCCAGAGCTCTGCCTTCTGCAGGATCAACACATCCTTTAGCTGACCCTATACCTCAAACTTTAGGACAAAAGCCTTTTGTTGGGTATCTACTCCCAGGAGGTGAAGGAAACAGATGGGACAACTACCCCCGCTCAGCTGAAAATGGAGAGACGAAAGCCAGTTTTCTGTTGAGCCCCTAGGCAGACCCAGCGCACTCAGTGAGCTTCCCAGAATACAAGTGTCCAGAGAGCCAGGCCACCATAGTGTAGAACTGCCGGCTGTAAGAACAGCTGTGAAACAAACTTCTGCTTTCCAGACTGAAGGTTAGAGGATGAGCTCTTCCTACAGACACACATTCATTACTATTTATGGGTTGCACAAACTCATACACACACACACACACACACACACACACACAGTCACTCACCTCTACACAAACAGAAACTCGCTGCCTAATCTGAGCAAATATGAAGCTGAAGAAACAATGCAAAAAGGACACTAAAAGGACAGCCCTGACAAGAGAAAACAATGTGCAAAGGCGTAGGAAAAGAAATGGATTTTTAAAGAAAAATTTAAAGGACAAGAGAAATAAGTTTGCAACAGTCAGGCAAACAGGCTCTTTCCCCCTAAGACATAAACTAAACAGAAAGTCAGGAGGTAAACAGCAATTAAATCCAAAGAGCCTTTGGACAGCAAAAGAAAAGTGGCTTCCAATCCCAGCCCAGCCTGGGTAACTGGCTGGGAGGCTGGACAGGGAACATCCTTAACCACTGACCATTTGTGTAATGGGGACAATAGCTGTCCCCAGTATTGAAGCCATGCCTAGGGCCAAGTAAATGGAGACTGTTCTCAACAGACCCACGGTACCCAAGAAGGAAAGTGATTAGAGGAGGCTGTTGAAGGAAGAAGGTTCACAAGAGACCTAAGCTTCTGCCTCAACAAAAAGCTGCAAAGCCAAAATCCACTCGTACAGCCTTCAAAAGAGAGCCCTTTCCAGTGGCAATGTAAGGACAGGTGCTGGCCCCGCCAAAGAGCACATGGAGCCAAGAAGGACTCCAGAAGCCCAGCAGGGACTGAAGCAACATGGGATGGGATGAAAGAGGAAGGAAGCATTCCTGACCCCTTCTCAATACTCTATACTCCAAAAGGTTAGGGGCATGACCAATTCCATCCCTATTCTAGTAGGGAAGAAAGATCTTCAAGAAGGTAGCTAAGCATATTAGCAAAAAACTGCAATCTCACAGACAAAAGACAGTAGCTCCAGCTAAAAGAAATGAAGTGACAAGCAAAAAAGAGAGCAAAAGCAAAAGGGACAAAGCAAACAGGAGCCCAGCCTAGACCTCTTCAGCCCTATGCTATTCAACCACAGGCTTCAATAAATCTGAATGCCAGAAGGGAATTTAAGATTCAATCTTCATTTGCACTGCTAAAGATCTAAAAGACATAGCAGGCACTCACTCACTACATAAAGAATAACCAGGGGATGCCTGGGTGGCTCAGTCAGTTAGGCTCAGGTCATGATTCCAGGGTGCTGGAATCCTGCTTCTCCCTCTGCCTGCCGTTCCCCCTGCTTGTGCTCTCTCTGACAAATAAATAAATAAAATCTTAAAAAAAAGAAAAAAAAAAAGAATAACCAGGGTTCAATGCCTTTAGGCCTGGAGCTTGTCAGTAGATCCAGGAAGGCTCTGGCAACTTCACACCTGTCAAAGACAAAGAGGTAGAGAAGGCTAGAGCAGGGTCAGAACTTTGATGCCATTACCACAGAGATAATAAGCAAAGCAACAAGAATAGAGTCCCTGTCTTAGGGAGAAACCCAGAGAGAAAGGAACAACGAGCATGAATAATCTTCAAGTCATGGCTGGAGTTTAGGAAAAGAAAGCAAAGCAAGCAAGGCTATCAAACAAGGAACGACAACAATAGTGCAGAATCAAATAGGTCAAGAGAGGAGAGAGTCCTGAGAAAATCAAGTTATAGGCAACGACGTCAAGAGATCAATCCGAATGAGGATGAAAAAAGCCACTGGATTTGGTGATGAGGCAGCCAGAGGGCCCTGCAAAAGAGGGCACACGTGAGAAGAAATAGAGGCACATAAGTAGAATCCTCTGAAAGCTTGAGTGGGTCCACTGAAGTTTGGAGATTTGGGGCCACTTCTCTAAATCCAATTTTTTCAATATTATCACTCAAGTCTTAATGATAACAGAGAAAAAATTGACTCCAATGGTCAGGTCTTACAGATGGATCCTCCAATGCCATACAAAGGTTCCTACGGTGGTGTAGAACTACCCCCTCCAACACACATGTCCTCAGGATAGTGACAGGCACAGTCACACCCG